GAATTGTCGTCGTTGAGCCGTAAGGAGTGGTAACGGCACGCTGTCTTCGGTGAAGGGAACACTTTAGGATAAGAGGCGGGGTTTTAATGTACTTTTGTGTAAAGAGAACCTGTTATAAGCTGATATTTACCCCCCTCGTGTCCTTTTCTTCATCCGCAGATTGCTCGGGAGCACGGAATTAGGTTTTTTGAGACTAGCGCAAAAGCAAACGTAAACATCGAGAAGGCGTTCCTCACGTTAGCAGAAGACATACTTCGAAAGGTAAGATGAGATCCGTGTCCTGTCCGTGGCCTGAAGTTCCATGTCCCTCCCCCTCCCCCCTCATCAATATGCTAATGACCTTTTTATATAGAAGAAAATGACATTAATGTTTTAAATAGACAGAGATTTATTTATTATTCACTTTTACCAGAAAAAAAGCTCTTTTGGCACAAATAACATTTCTCGCTCTGCTCGGCTGTGAAGTCGGAATTGAGGGTCCATTAGCCGTCTCTAGGCCGCGATTTTCTGCACCGCTGACTGACGGCTGAGCGGCCCGATAAACAATAATTGGGCCGTTTTATAGGAAATTCCACTTCCTCCAAAATGTATATAAATGTCACGCGCGACGTCTTGGAATGGAATGTTTTTATCGCTGACCTTTGACCTTTCACGCTCGGCCTGCCGCTCGCTCTCGTGTTCGGGAATTGTTGGGCAGAATGGCGGTTTAGCGTCAGTCACTGTGTACAGACGTCTCGTCGCCCCCCCCCCTTGTGCGATCGGCTCTCTCGGCTACAAAGCACATTTCTGTCATCGTTTATTTGGGGGAGATTTTACAGTATATGCATAGCCAAAAATCTATAGGGAAGGGGTTAAAAGTAGGGACACCGACCTTTCTTGCAAAAAAAAAAATGGTAATACCAAAACGGCCAAAAATGTGCTCCATCCCCCTCCAATGCCTGCTGCTCTCACCCCCCACCTGTGTGGGCCGAGGCAGCGGGTATCGGAGGGGACTGCCCAGTGCCCAGCGGGGAGGAGAGAAGCTGTCAGGATGCCGAGCGGGGAGGAGAGGAGCTGTCAGGATGCCGAGCGGGGAGGAGAGGAGCTGTCAGGATGCCGAGCGGGGAGGAGAGGAGCTGTCAGGAAGGCAGGGAGGAGGTGAGAGAAGCTGTCAGGATGCGGGGCAGTGAGGAGGGGAGCTCGGCTCTTGTGACTGGCGGTCGGGATAAGGAGGGCAGAGGACAAGCGATCAGTACTGATCACTCTGTGCAAGTAATGGAGGACATAGCGTGCTTAAAATGTCCCCAGTTATAAATGAACAGGAAGTACTCTGCATGACTTCCTTTTCATTCATGATTGTGGACATAGTAACTGATACTATGCCCCCAGTCTATGAATGGACACGAGCGCTCGGTATAGATTCTTCCTGCTCATTCATAAGCGGCGGCTCTAGTAAGAGGTTTAGGACTCGGTGTCCTCGATCTCCTTTTATTGTAAAAGGGAAATATCCGGGGGTCTGTTTCTATATTTCCCCAGAACCCCGACACTGAAGTAAAATATAAAATAAAACATTTTGAAAAAGTTGGGGGGAAAAAAGTAATTTTTGGTTTCGGCCTGACCAAAATGTTTTTTGTTTTTTTTTAGTTTCGGTTTAAAAATGTAATTTTGTTGCTTCCCTAGTTAAGTCCGGTTAGGGTTTTTTTTTTTTTTTTGACGCCTGTGTCCTGCTGGGAACATGTTCCCCTCACTTCCTGTCTTGAAGATGCAACGGAAAGCGAGTCTCCCAAATGTGAGGGGCACTTCCATTTTTGAGAGTTGTCACCATAACATTTGTCCTCGTTGGAAGATCTCCACCTTCCCCCCCTTCTCTTCCTCCTCCTTCCCCCTCCTCTTCTTCCTCCACCTCCTCTTTCTCTTCTTCCTCCACCTCACTCCAGCGACTACTGGAAATGAAATGTGTATCACAATAAAACTTAGAGTGAAGCTTTATTACCTGTGGTCCATGACTCTACCCCTTCTACCCATCCCCCACCCCTCCGAGTACAGCCCGCCTGGTAAAAGCCTTCATGGTGTCCCCCTTTCTCGCACCTATTGGTGAGCCGTAATCATGGTGACCGCTATACATCCAATGGAGTACAGCTCCTCCATAGTGGTGAATGGGGCCTGTGGGTGAGCCGTACTCGTGACCGCTATACGTCCAATGGAGTACAGCTCCTCCATAGTAATGAATGGTGACCCCCCCCTCTACCCGTCCCCCACCCCTCCCAGTACAGCCTGCCTGCTAACAGCCTCCATGGTGTCCCCCTTTCTGGCACCTATGGGTGAGCCGTACTCATGGTGACCTCTACCCGTCCAATGGAGTACAGCTCCTCCATAGTAATAGACCTGGAATTCCGTCTATAGAAGATCATCCAGGTGATCTAAAATGGAGATCCATCAAAGTCAATGAGCAACAACTGGGGCCAACAGCTTGGTAAACACCTGAGAAGCCAATGCCAACTGAAAGGATAGGGCCACACACTGTTACTGAGGTGTTGGTTCTGGTTCCCCGCCGTCTGTAGAAGATCATCTGGGTGACCTTCAATGGAGATCCATCAAGGTCATAAAGAGGCGAGAACTTGAACCAACACTTTGGTGAACACCTGAGGAGCTGTTGTCAACCCAAAGAAAGGGGGAGGGGGCACAACCTGGTAGTGCTCCTCCTCGACCGCAGTGTTCAGGACCTGGAGCTCTTCACTGTATCCTTCCATGAGCAGCTCATGATCAAAATGTTGGCGTCCAAGTTGACCTAGCAGTCTATCCATAGAAGGTCATCCAGGTGACCTTCAATGCAGATCCGTCATAGTGAAGTGAGAACCGGGGCCAATTGGTAAACACCTGAGAAGCCAACACCTACCGAAAGGAGAGGGCCACACACTGTTACCGAGGAGTTATTTCTGGTTCTCACCTTATTAGGACTTTGAGGGATGTCCAAGTCAAAGGCCGTCTGTATAATATCATCCAGGTGACCTGCAATGGAGATCCATCAAAGTCAACAAGGCGTCCATCTCACCTACTACATACTGATATCAATAAAGGGAAGTGTCCTCTTCACCCCAATCCACACCACGGAGCCGCTGTAGATCTACAACTCGCCAGCAAAGGATGCGGCACCGCGGGAAGTGTGGAATCCACCATGCAGGTGCAACTGGTGTAGGTGTCCCCGCCCTTTGTGAAGCCTTAGGGGTCCATTGACGGTTATGACCTGCAGTAACACACCTTACATGTATTTATTTTCAATGAAACCCCCCAACACGCAAGGCAAGGTAACCAAACTCTGCCCCTCCGGTGGTGAGACTATACATCCCATCATGTGCTGCCTCTGGTTGTCAAAGAGTCTGGCAATGCCACATGGCGACCTTCAGATCCAGAACAGCTGGAGGGCTGACGCTTGGTTACCCCCCCAACTCTCTATGCCAGGGGTAGCAAACCTCCGGCCCTCCAGCTGTGTGGTGGAACTACAAATCCCACGAGGCATTGCAAGATTCTCAGCCACAGACATGACTCCCGAAGAGAGATGCATCATGGGATTTGTAGTTTCACCCCCCAGCTGGAGGTGCGGAGCTCTGCGGGGGTATCTGTGATGGGGTGTGAGGGTACGGAGCTCTGCGGGGGTATCTGTGATGGGGTGTGAGGGTACGGAGCTCTGCGGGGGTATCTGTGATGGGGTGTGAGGGTACGGAGCTCTGCGGGGGTATCTGTGATGGGGTGTGAGGGTACGGAGCTCTGCGGGGGTATCTGTGATGGGGTGTGAGGGTACGGAGCTCTGCGGGGGTATCTGTGATGGGGTGTGAGGGTACGGAGCTCTGCGGGGGTATCTGTGATGGGGTGTGAGGGTACGGAGCTCTGCGGGGGTATCTGTGATGGGGTGTGAGGGTACGGAGCTCTGCGGGGGTATCTGTGATGGGGTGTGAGGGTACGGAGCTCTGCGGGGGTATCTGTGATGGGGTGTGAGGGTACGGAGCTCTGCGGGGGTATCTGTGATGGG